TTAGGAGACTCTGCATTATACGGGGGATTAATGGGACTGACACCAATAGCTTCTGCAAATAAGAGCATTTGCCCCTTTCTCATTGAATTTTTTGCCCAAGATGTGAGATTATAGGATCCCACATTTAGAGCTGGGAAAGACCTTAGAGGCCATTGGGTCCAGCTGCCTCTTTTTGTAGTTGAAGTAATTAAGGCCCAGAGAAGTGACTTGCCTCAGGTAACACAGGTAAGCAGGTAATAAGCAGCGAAGTCAGGACTCAAAGTCAGGCCCTGATTCCAAGTTCAGTACTCATTCCACTCTCACGTTCTCTATGACAACTGCAAACACTTTCGGTGACCTTACGTCTCCCACCTGCTTTACTGCTTGCCTTATGGGAATAATTCATATTTGTTGGCCAGACCCAGGTCCGTAATAATGGTTCCTTTTGTTGCTTCCTCTGCCCTTTGAAGAATGAGATTATCAGTAAGGCAGAAGTCACGTTTCTCACGCACTCTACTTTTTTTTCCTAACCTACTCTACTTTTAAGTGACTTTTGAGCATCAGTAGACATTTAGATCATTGTAATCCTGAATCCCTGCAACGTCACCCCTTGATACTAGTTTACTGATCTACTCCCTTGTCTAATTTCTTCTGTCCAGGTGACCTGTGATAAACCATCATTACAATATCATTTTTCTTTCTCCTTCTTTTCATCCATGCACACTCTCCACCATGTTCTCCCTTCCCTACCTTGGGTTCTTGAATTTCCTCGCCCGAGGCTATCTTCTTAATTTACAGTGGGACTTCGCCAGCCAGCCATTTAATTCATACATTATTCCTTTAAATAAGGTGTATCCTTCCAGATCCAATGCATTTGAATGTAGACGTGTGAGGTAATAGGTTTTATTGGTGTTTCTCTTTTTGGATATTGGCTTCTAGGAATTAGGTCCTTTCATCTATTTTACTTTTCATGGTGTATCTGCCACTCATTTCAATACTAGGTTTGGCAGTTCTTTGTGGGCAGTTTCCTCCTTACCAATCCCCTTTTATCTTAAAGCCCTCCTGATCAGATTTGTAAAATGCTAGAAAAATATGCTTTTACTAGCCCTTTTTCAGAGTATTCCATCCTTGGCCAGAAACTTATCACTCCCATATTTTAATATGTGGTCCAAGAAATCTGTATCTCATTCTCATACATCATCTTTTTAGCCAGTTGTTCACTTTCCAAGTACTCCTTTCCTTTCTGAATCCCTGATCTTCACTTGGTAGTATTGTTTCGCTGAAAACCCCTTTTGTGCCTCTAAATAGGGATCTTCAACTTGGGGTCCCTGAACTTGTTTTTTTTAAATACTGATAAGAGTATTTCAATAAAAATTGGTTACTCTTGTAGTCCTACATATTTTATTTTAGGCATTTAAAAAGATTATTCTGAGGAGTCCATAGACTCTCAAAGGGGCCCATGACACAAAAATGGTTAAGAACTCTTGCCCTAAAATCTTCAGTTTCTTATCTGAGACTTCACAATCCTTAGCCATACTCTCTAGATTACTTCTGGTGGTATCACTGAACCCTGTGTAAATCATCAGGACTGAGTTGTGGTTGTCAGGTTTGACAGATCTCAGGAGGCTCCCCGTCACTTCCTGGATACATGCCCCAGGAGGATAATAGACTCCTCAACTGTTCATATCAGGTAAAAAAATAGCTGCTTCAGTGGCCTTTGGTAAGAGTAGTCATCTTTTCTTTCTTTGACCATCATTGGATGCCCTCTCACCCAATGGTGCATGTGGATTGTTGCCATCATTCCTTGCAGCCAAAATAATAACTTCTTTCTGAGAAGATCCTTTTCTATCCTTCACGGAAAGAGCCTTACACCTATTAAGGAGCTCCAAAGGTTCAGTTGTTCTTTCCTTCCTTCTCTGTCATGCAATTCCAATCTCTGACCTCCTGATACTCATTAGAATTCCCCTCAGCTTCCTCCTGTTTTTTCTTCTTTGTTTCCTCCTTGAAGCACTTCATCTGTTCTTTTAAGGAACACTTCATTGTCCCTGATATCTTGGAGAGGAGAGATGTATTTTTTTCAGCCCTTTCACCATCTTCTCTGGGAAAGAGATCAGCTTGTACTATGTGCCTGCTTAGCTGTCACTTGGTGCTGTTGGAAACATAAATACAGCACATTTTCTTCACGTTCCTGAAAAATTCTTACCTTCTTTACCTTCTTGAAGGCAGACCTTCAGTCTTCTGACTTCTTTTTGGTAGCTCTTTTGACTAACCCTGGGGCTTAATTGTTATGCTTGTTTGCTACCCTGGTGGTTCAGTTACATTGGACTCCTGAGAGAAGTTTAATTTATTTAGGGCTGACTTCCTTCTTTCTAGAAAGGGAGAGCCTATCTGTTCAGCTGCCATTCATTGGCAATTACCATACTACTGCCATGCCCAAATTCTGAGAAATAAACAGAAGCCAATCTGTAAGGAAGAAGTACCCACCCTTATATCTCCTTGCTGATTTTCAGCTGTGTTCCTCTACTTGCCTAGTTGCTTGGCTAGCTAAGGTTGAAGTTGATGTTCAGGTTAGGGTTAAGTCAGGTTGAAGGTTAGAATTATTCTAGGGTTCAGGACAGGATTAAGTTGGAAGCCAAGTTTCCAATCAGAGTTTCTTACAGAGAACCCCTCAGCAGCTGGTTTGGAGGTTGATCTTATGGATTAGGATTCTCCACTCCCGTAGTTGTCATCTGAGAACTGAGACTGGGCCTCCAATAACACTTGGTGTCCTCTAGGTCTGTACTTACCATCCTCTAGTCATACCCTCTGCTTATGATGTGTTTCCATTTTCCGTCCTTATTTCCCCTTTCCTCCGCCATTTTCCCTAGTCTGTGTATAAATAAGTTACTGGTCATGAATATTATTAATAAAAATAGGAATAAGCACTGATCAGAGCTTGGCCTGATCTTGTATCTCTACCTTATATCTCACATATTTTGAACTCCAATTAAACTTCAGCATAATTTGGCCCCCATCCCAGATAGTCTGTCCTTTTCCTTACTCTCTTCTCTCCTCCCCTTCCCTCTCTGGCTATCAGCACAAATATCTTCCCTCCTCCTCCTTCTCCCCCAGAAGCCCCTGTAGGTGTGGGGCCCGTAACTGGATGATGCTCTATCAAGCTGGTCAGTCAGTCAATAAGCATTTATTAAGTGCATTTTACATAGCAGGCACTGTGCTAAGTGAGTCTGTGGATGAGAGACTCCTGGGGTATGTGGCTGTTGTGGGGTAGGTGAAGCCTCTCGCCTCAGCTCTAGAGTCTAGTTTCTCAAAACTCCCTTGTTCCCATTTTTTTGGCTGAACCTTCAAATCTCAGGACTATTCATTTTAACTGCCCAGGAAAGGAGATTATCTCTGAAAGCTGAGTGGTGATGTTTGATTGAAAGCTCCCCATTGCACAGGATCCTTTTGTTGTGTCTAGATGGTTATGAATTGTTTTCTGTGAGACTAAAAGTGTTTTTGTGTCTGAATGGTTGATGAGAATTTTCTGAAATAGGCAGTGTTTTTGTGTGTGCTCATGTTTAGTGGGTGTTTGGTGTGTTGTTGATGGTATTTGTATAGGGCTTGATGTGTGGGTGGTTATTGGTACTGTGGGTACTGATGTGTAGGGGGTATTTTGTGTGATTGATGGTGCTTATGCGTGTTGATAAGACCTGGTGACAAGAGGAGGATGAGAGGGTCAATGCTTCAGGGGTTATGTCTCCAAGTTCAGGTGGATGGGGGATGAGTTCATAAAAACTGGCTTAGAAAGACCAACAACTACCTGTAAAGCAAATGAGCTAGGACCAGCTCTACATCAGTGGCCCAGTGATAGGCACATGGTGCTCAGTCTCCAGGGCAACACTCACAACCTTAAGCAATACACCTAGTGACATGTAGCAACACCATGACACCCTTACAGTGGTACCCTCACAGTAGTGCACACAGCCACACCATCACCCAATGACACAGTTATACCCTCACAGCAGCCACACCCCTGAACTCCAGCTCACACTTGTAAACCTCCGTCCATTCAGCTGGACCAACCATCTTTGTCTGAGGAAATGATGGGCCTTTTAGGGACTGCACAGATCCAGGTAACCAAGTGTCTGCAAAGGATGAAAAGGTGATTCATGGATTGGGATGGTGACTTGGGATGCATGGGTATGCATGTGCCATGGGGTAAATTAGGAGGTAGGAGACCCAATGCCAAGTACAACTTAGCTCAGCCTGACCTAGTGCCTGAGTATCATACAAATACTAATATGGGCTAGGGTATGAATTTGAATTTGGGATAGGCCCCACTAGAAAAGTGAGATCTGAGAGGCCTGAAATAGAAAGACTATCTGGGGTAGAGGGAAAGGCTGGACAAAAACCACTACTTAGAAAACATGTGCTTTATTGAGAACCCAATTCCACAGGGATCTCTGCCTGCAGAGCCAAAGGAAAGAGGAATAAAGGGTCTGAGAATTCCCTCCCGTCTCAGCCTCCAATTTCTCTGGCCTCAGACCTCTCTAGCCCATGACTTCTTGGCTTTTCTAGTTGAGACGCCAAGGGACTGAGCCTTTACAATCACTACCCCAAACCCTAAATGCATTCTGGCGGCCTCCTTTATAGCCTTAGAATGGAGGCGGCATTACACAAATACAAGGGCTGAGCTCCCTTCCCTGCACGGCTCCTTGAAATGCCTACTCACCAACCTCTCCTGAGGCCATCACTCAGCTCACAGCTGAGGATAACCATGGCACTGATTTCTTACGGGGAGCCAGAGCCCCCACAATCTTGCTGTCTTGGCCATGGTCTCGATGGACATGTCTTTCTGGGAAAGGGCAGGTTTTCTGGGAATGCCAGTTCCCAGACTGAGGAAATACAAGGAGTGTTTCTGGGAATGCCAGCTCCCAGAGTAAAGGAAACACTGTCCTTCCAGATTGGGCCCTGAATCAGACCCAGACCTTGCCCCTGAAGCTGACCCAACACCCACACCCTTTGCCCTCCCACCCCAGATGTCAATATAGGTCATCAAAAGGCTTGGAGTAATTGAACATCAAGTAATCCATGTAGTAAAAGTCATAGGTGCGCTGTCTCTGCAGGGGAGACAACTGGGCAAAGTAGTGGTGGGCAATCCTTGTGGTTGTCCTCTCCTCATTTGAGTGCCTATCTTTGAACCTGGGGAAGGTCAGATTCCGGGGAGCACCAATGAGGCGCAGGAAGAAGTTGGCGTCTTCCTCCATGCTCTCAAACTTGCCCACAAAATCATAGTCAATGAGACAAGGGCTGCACAGCCTATTTACATGGTCCCAGTGAATGTCCATGCCCACAGGCCGGTGCACATCCAGCAGGTACTGGATGAACTCAGAGAACCTCACACCCGAGCCTGTCCTTAGAGCCTCCCGTGTGGCATTCACACGATACCTGGCAAGAATGGCCTTGCCAAAAACAGGATGATAGTAGCTGTTAGGGTGCTCAAATTTGTCCCGGAAAGCAGAGACCAGCCTCTCAAAGGGCTCCCGAACGAACAGCATTTTGGTGTAGGTGTTGAGGCGGTAAGAGATGCCCTGGCGGTCAAAGCCGTCCAGCCTCTTCAGGGTGTTGCCATAGTGCACAGTGTTGTGCTGGATGTCCCTGGTGGAGGAGGCCAGCCCACTGAGGACCATGAGGACCCGCTTCCAGTTGGAGCAGCCAGCCTTTGGTACCTCACAGTACAGGACCCGGTACTTGTCCTCCACGAAGATGCGGGACACGTGGTAGGGCGTGATGACCCTGCGACTGTTGCTCTTGTATTTGGCGCAGGTGTCCCTCATGATCTTCTTCCGCTCACGCTGCACCTGGTAGAGACGGTGCCAGTGACCCACAGGGGCTCCAGCATCCTGGGGGCCCAGCTGAGCCAGCGTGACAGTGGAGCTGTTCAGGGCAATGACGATTGGCGTCTTCTTGATGAGAAGCCTCCTCCGGCGCTGCCGGGGCTGGATGTGGCCACCCTCTGGCCCAGGCTTCGCCTGCTCTCTCACCAGAACCACCAGGCCATTCAGCTGCTGCTCCTGGCTCCGTGCCCCTGGGCCTGGGGAGCCCTGGGGAGTGACCTTTGCCAAGGCTCCTGCTTTGTGACCCATCACTCTCCCATCCTGGCTGCCACCTGGTGGACAGTCCTGGGGGGAGGAGGAAGAGAAAAAAGGGGTTAAAAGGGCCACTGGGCCTTAGTGACCAATGACAAAGCACCCCACAGGGACCATCCTGCCTGCTAAGATGAGAAGCCACAAAAGCCTCATGTTCATTACTTTACCCTAATTAGCCTTATAGAGTAAAGAGAGTGGCTAGACTTGGGAGTCAGGAAGACTTCACAGAGAGATATCACAGAACATCATGGCGCCCTCAGCCCATGACACATGTATCTAGGGTAAAGAGTGCTAGACTGAAGGATGGGGGCTTGGGTTCGAGGGCCTGATTCTTACCAGCTGTGCGACTCTGGATGAGTCTGTTTCCTCTGCCAAAGAAGATACTGACACATGTACTACCTATTTCATGAAATGGTTGGGAGGGAAGTTTTGGAAAGCTTAAAGCAGAATGGGAATTATTAATTATAGGATCATGGATATTAAATTGATAACATACTTGGAGATTATCTAGCCCAACCTGCTCATTTTATAGATGAACCTGCCTCTTTCCTTGCTTTCTAGTATTCTTACATAAACTTTAGTCACCTTCATATACTCTAGCCACACTGGTTTTGCTCTTCATAAAAATAAAAATAATAATAGCTAGCATTTATTAATTACTTATAAATTAATACTTATATGCTATATACACACACTATATACATTTAAAGCACTTTATAAATATTATTTCATTTTGTCCTAACAAGCATCCTGGGAAATAGGTGCTAATATTACTTCCTTTTACTGAGGAGGAAAGTAAGGTAGGCAGAATGACATGCCCAGGGTCACACATCTAGTAAATGTCTGAGAATGGCTTTGAACTCATGACTTCCTGACTCCAAGTCCAGTGCTCTATCCACTGTGCCACCCAACTGCCTATCAAATGCATCACTCCACTCCATCTCCAAAATCCATGCCATCTTAGTGGTAGTCCCCCATGCCTAGAATACTTACTTTTCTTACCTCCTGGCCTCCCTGCCTTCCTTCAGGACTCAGCTCAAATCTCATGTCCAGCAGGAGATCTTTCTTGGTAACTCTGCCCCTTCCTGCCCCACCCACCCCTTATTGCCTTTCCTCTCAGAATACCTTTCCATTTACTCTGCATCTATCTTGTATGTACAATTTTTTGCATGTTGCTTCCTTCATTTGAATGTAAGCCTCTTGAGGGGCAGCGACTGTGTTTTTGCCTTTTTCTATACCTCTAGCACTTGGCCCCCAATAAGTGCTAGCTGGCTGCTTGATTGATTGAAGTGACCTACCCAAGTTCAAATATGTACCTAGCATCTGAACTCAGAAGCAGAGTTGGGATTTGAATCTAGGTCTTCTGAATGAAACTGATGCTCTTTCCCACTAAGCCAAATTGCCCTTCTTCCTCAGGTCTCTGTCTCCTTTTGGGATCAGGGAGAAATGGTAACTTTCTTTTACATATGGGGAAACTGAAGCATCTAAAGGAAAATGACAGTTCTGTATATTTATCTTGATTATTAATGCTAGGACTTGGAGTAACAGCTTGTTTCTTGTCTCTGATGCTAATAAGCTTATAAGTTAATGGGGGAAGACAATGAGCTGAATTTTTATGTGGGGAAGTGGGCTGGTTGAGGGGAACCTCCACCTGAGGCCCCATGGGCCCTGACACCCTGCCCAGGACCCTGTGAGTGCCTGTATTAGAGTAGGCTCTGCTGGTGACTGTAATTATCTAGGGAGCCACTAGGTGGAGTAGTCTCACCAGGATCCCACCAGTTCTTACCTACTGCCTTTTCTTGGGGTTTCCCACCCACCCAAGATTGACAACCTCTATTAGCGCGACTCAGAGCAGCTGTGGATGAGGAAAGGAGAAATTCATGGCTTAGAAAGGCCCTAGCTGCTTTCCCTTGGCAACTGCAAAACTTACATTTCGGTAGCGCTGGGCATTATACTTTACTCCTGAAAAGAGAACAAAGAAAAGAACATGGTTATCAGGCCATCCTTACCTAAATAGACTTTGTGTGTACACGAGTGTGCATGAGCCTTTGGCCACAAGCAAACAGGCTTCATCTCTGCCCACGTTCAAGACTAGCCCCAGGGAAAGTCTGCTTATAAATGGCTGTAGTGACAGGGGGCCTGGGTCCAAGCCAGGTATATAGGGAGGAACAAGCCACAGGTCTCCCCATGCCTAGGTAAAGCTGTCAGGCATACCCCCAGAGTCTCTACTGCTTCCAAAGAGAAGAAAATCTAGGCCCATAATCAAGAGGGATCTAAGTGGCTATTTACATCAAATAACAGATGGCATATGGCAAAATGGAAGACCACGAGTACCAGAGTCTGAGCCCCAGCTCTGACAATTACTAGCTATACAACTCCCCGAAGTGAGTTCTCTGAGCCTCAGTTTACTCACCTGTAAAATGGGGTAATAATACCTATATTCTCTCCTTTCCGGGGTTGTTGTGAGGGGAAGTGTTTTGTAAAAGCTAGAGCACTGTAGATATCTAAGCTATTACTATTATTTATTAAGGGATGGGATCAGATCTGATCATAACTCTTGATGTCACGTGAGCGATTTTTATATTTACATGACTCAAGCCATTTATATCTTACATGATTACTGACATCGCCTCAAAGGAACATAAAAGCTCAAATCGTTTTCATACTTTCCCAATCCCAATCCTATAATGCAAACTATTCTCCTGTGCTTAGGGACCCCAAAGCTTCTGCACCGATGATTGGATATAACAGTTCCACTAAAAGCAGCTTCTTTTCCCTTCAGTCCCACCTCACCTCCCCAGTTCTTTTTTCCTGCTCATCTGGACCAGCCCCTCCTTGTTGACTCACTTGCACCTGCACCTCCCACCCCACCCCCCATTGGGTTTATTAGAATTTCCAGTTTTGCTCTTTACCCTTTACCCTACTGGGCATACCCTCTCCACCTCCTCTTCTCTGCCTATCCAAACTCTAGGCATGCTTTAAGGTCCAACTCAAGTCTGACCCCCTCCCTAACTACTTCAATGCATAATCATTTCTTCCTCCTCTGACCTTCACCCTTTATTATGTTTACCTTTCCATGTAAGCACAAATGACTTGCTTTTCCAACCAAGCCAGGAGTTCCATGAGAGCAGGAACTGTCTGTCTCCCCACAGGTGCCTTTAGTACAATAGGCCCCCAGTAAAAGCTTATTGATTGAGGGAGGGAAGGACTAAATACCTGCTGGGTTTCAGAGCCATTCTCCTCGCTCCCTGATGCGGTTCCCCTTTGGTGCTCTGGACACAAGAGATTGCTTTTTATACCAGGACTCCATGTTAGAGTCTAGTGGAACTAAAACTGAAGTGCAGGGGCATCTCCCACATATCATACCTGGTCGGCTTTTGGAGGGGGACTCAAGAGGACAAGGACAAAGGGATGCTGCCACATTAGAGAGAAGAGGAGGAAGAACCTGAAGGATTATAGCAGCCTAGGATATAGAGCTAGAAGGAGCCTTTGAGATCATCTGGTTCAATTCTCTTATATTACAAATGGGGAAATTAAGGCCCAGCATGGGAAACTGACTTTATCAAGATAACACAGGAAGTAAGTGATAGAACTGGACTTCAAACTCAGGTCTTCCAGCTCCAAATCCAGTGTGGTTGTTGTTGTTTTCCCATGACACCACATTGCAATCTGAGAGGTGGGTATTCATATGCAAAAATCAGATATCCTGACTTGGTTCTATATAGGAATAATTTCTCAATCTCAGAATATGGCAAATGTACCCTCTACCATCACCAGCATCATGAATATCGCCATCACTATTTTTGGCATCACCATTGTCATTACCATCAATCGTAGCAGCATCGTCAACACCATCATATTACCATCTCCATTATCACCATCAATATCCCTGTCTATATCATCACCCCCTTCACCATTGTTATCATCCATAACTAGCTTGCTATTGTGAGCTTCTCATACATAATAACTCCCATGCCTGTGGTGTTTCTTCTGGTAACAGCATAATTACAGATCCCTTTAGCTAAAGCCCTTGTTTTACAGCTCTGATTGTGACTATAGTCATGGGCTCACTCCATCATATTTCCTTCTGAAGACTGCAGTTGTTAAATCATTTCTCCTCAGCAGTGTCACAGATCCAGAGATTTGCTTTGGCTGTCAATTTTGTCAACATGTAGAGATGACAATTTGCATATTTACATATTCATCCCAGAACAAACTAGTTATACCAAATTGGGCCAGAAGTGGGGCTGAGAAACCTACTTTTTTAGTGGAAAACTGAAACTTAACTTCCAAATGACCCAACTTTGTCACTTTTGAGTAACCTCTCTCCCTAGCTTCTCATTAATCAGACAAATGTCACCTCAATTTAACTCACCAGACATCTATTAGGTACTTGTTATATACAAGATACCAAGCTAGAACCTGGAGATGTAAAGAGAAAAAAAGAAACAGTCCATAAGGAACTTACATTTTATGAGGGAGATGAAATGTACTCATCTGAGTAAATGCAAAACATGCAAAACAATTTCAAAAGGGAGAGAACACTTATAATTGGAGAGATTAGGAGATGAAACCTGATCTGTGCAATCTGAAGGGAATTAGGGATTCTAGAAGGCAGAGATAAGAGGGAGTTCATTACGGACCTGGGGGATCATTTGCACATGGAATGTTAGATACTAGAAACCACTAACAGGTCAATTTGGCTAGGATGGGGAGTGAGCAAAGGGAAGTGAAGTGAAATAAATGTATACTCTGTCTGTGATGTCCCTGTCCCAGTCTGTGCTGCTTAAATACAGTGAAGAAAGGCATCGGATGGGTGGTTCTGACTTAGAAATCTCTCTTCTGAGAAGACCAAAGCCTTGGAGAGCCGATCAAAGGAAGCTTCCAAGGTGGGTGCTTTGGCAGGATCAGAAAGAATTGGAGGAATGGAGAGATAGGTTATGGAAGAAAGCAAGTCATTGGCTGACAGGCAAGAGATCTAAATTTTTCATTTGGGTTTCATCTGTGATTTGTTGTGCAAACTCAAGCGAGACCCTTTACCTCTCTCTATCTCACTTATTTACAGAGCAACCGTCCCTGCTTCTTCTGGTGATAGCATTTTGGGGAAGAGCAGGTAGAAAAGGACATATTTGAAACATTTGGAGTATAGAGGACATGAAAACTTTACCACTTAGGATATCAGGATCACACTACTTGTTCACTTAAGATATCAGGGTGACATTCCTTATTATTTCTAGGAGGTGAAGTTAATTTTTCTGTGGTAGCTCAGCTAGGTCATAATGGTTTGCAGAAGGGTCATAGTCACACCCACTCCTTTGAGAAAGAAAACTCTATGGGCAGCTAGGTGGCGCAGTGGATAGAGCTCCGGCCTTGGAGTCAGGCGGACCTGACCACTTACTAGCTGTGTGACCTTGGGCAAGTCACTTAACCCCAACTGGCTAGCCAAAAAAAAAAGAGAGAGAGAGAGAGAGAAATAAAACTCTTTCCTTGGGGAAAAACCTCCTAAGGAATTTATCTGGAGCCTTACCAACTTCTTGAACCTCATTTCCTTGAGCCTCAGTGATATACTTTGTTGCAAAATGAAAGTTCATTGGACAAAAGGCAAGTCAGCTTAGGAACTGTGAGCCTTCTCATATACAGAAACCAAATGAAACTAAATAGGGCTGGATTAAAGCAGGTCAGAAGGCACTATATCTGTCTTTGATTAGAGACAAGTCTTAGCAGCATGTCCAATATTCCAAGATCTTTCCCCCAGAGGAAGCTGCTTTCCTGTGAGTAATTTGGATAAATGCTACAATACCCAGATCCCCTGAGAGATAAAAGTTGTAATCAATGTGTATCCTGGGGTCAAGCCAATTGTGCTGGGTATATACAATGATTGCCTGGTTTTGGGGAATAAATTGCTCTCAGGATCCACAGTGTGGATTGCCCTGGAGGTAGGGGGTAGAGATTGGATGGTTATATAGTAGTTGTAGTGGTATGTATGTCAGGACTCCAGAGAGAAACATGGGGAAAAAAAGAAATGATCCTTGGACAAAAGTCCAAAAACATTAATCAAGACTATCACCATCATCAATATCACTGCCACTGAGCTCCTGGTAGTGGAGAGCCACCAGGCTCCCCAAGGAAGGGAAAAATGGCCCATGCCAGCAAAATGGAGCAGGTGAAGGCCTCCACACCAATAAGCATTGGATTGGGCCAATGAGTGGCTGTTCTGCTTCTGGCTCTGTCTAGATAGGGAGGCCCAGTCTCCAAAAACAAAAGAATCAACACCATTATCCCTATCTACATCATCATAATAACTACTACCATTATCACTATGACTATCAAATCATCTCCCTTATCACTGTTGCTATCATCATCCCCATGATCCCTACCACCACTATGACTACCATTATCATTATTACTGTCATCGTGGTTAGCTATCTACCACCACCAGCTATCATCACTATCACTATTCTTACTAACACCACCATCACCACCAGATATCATCACTGGGGTCACATAACTATGACTACTATTATCGTTATCACCATCATCAAAATCAGCACCACTACCTTCCCTATAGCCAGTCACCAGCACCATCTCTATTTATCACTTTTGTTGTTGCTGTTCATCATTTCAGTTGTATTCGACTCTTCATGACACCATTTAGGGTTTTCTTGGCAAAGATACATCTCCTTCTCCAGTTCATTTTACAGATGAACAAACTGAGGCAAAACAGGGTCACACAGCCAGTAAGTGTCTGAGACCAGATTTGAACTGAGGTGTTCCTGACTCCAGGCTTGGCACTCTATCCACTGTGGTACCTAGCTGTCCCTCTCTTTATCACTACCACCATTTATTACCACATCACCGTTTCTCTCATCCTAGTAGGCCTCATACATGTTTTGCATGAGTGAGCCATAGCAGAATGTCCTCAATCTCCTCGATATGACACAGGGAAGAGGGTTACTAATATC